CAATATGTGAGGCAGCATGGGGAAATCGGGCACTTGTCAAAATGGTGAAATCGAGGAAAAAGAAAAAGGCATTTTCCCATAAGTTTGGCAATTTTTATCGAAATGTTGTTTTTTGGCTAAACACCTTTTATGTCCATATGAAAACACATTTTCATGTGAATTTTACTGAGTTTTCAAGGACTCTTAAACTATCGAAGTTACCAAACTTTGGTGGCCATTTTCTAATTAATTTAACCACTGAAACGATGCTACCCCACCTTCTTCAATCGCAAATATCTCAACTTCTATTCAAGCAAGATGGACATTATTATTATTATTATTATTGTTGTTGTTGTTTGACGACTGTAGTTTGCAATAATATGGCGCAATAGTTGGAATTTTTAGTGGTATGCCTAATGAGAATCAGTGCGTCATGCAACAAAAATGGGGACATAGCTGAAAACGGGTTGTTGTTGTTGGGTTTTTTACGCCCTATGTAGACCAAAACTATTCTGCAGATTTATCTAAAATGAATAACAAGACAAACTCCGTTTGACTTCCAAATGTTGTGTACAATTTGAAACGCAAAACTTCCGGATGGAGAAGTTTTTGTGGGGGGGTTTTGGACCACCCTGTACATAGTAAAGTAGAGTAACTGTTGTTCCCGCTTCCGATCCGGACTTTGGTGATTGCCTTGTTTATGCTAGTGAGACAACTTTCTGGGCCTTTGGCATATTGTGGTAGGGCGGCCAGTTCCTTTCCACGCGGCCTTTACTTCCCCAACTCGAAGTCAGGTACCCGTTACTGCTGGGTGAGTAGGAGGGGGCGAAAAAAATCTGTGTCCGAACCGAGGCTCGAACCCGTTCTTTCCGCTTCGGAGACGAGCGCACTAACCGCTCCGCCACCTGTACATAGTACATGTATAAAAATTCACATTCTCTTCACTTTACTTTTCTTCAACACGTGATAAGCACCAGAGCATTCCTACACAAAGACTGAAGATACTAGATACAAATTCTCCCCACACGCGAAGTGAACACGGGACTACTCCGTGCAATAGCGAGACGCCTGACCGCAGCATCATAAACACTGGTCTAGAATATTGAGAGTACATTGAAGAAAGTTGTGGGTGCAATTTCCTCTTCCCAAATATCTAAATGTTGATTAGCTAAAAATGAGAAAAAACCAACAAACCAACAAATAAAATAACCTAATAACTTTGATCGGTCTCGTAAAATCACCGATAAAAATATGCACCCTCATCTTCTCTCAAGAAGACCTACATGTTAC